TAGCCCTTAGGCATCAGGTTTTCTGAGGAGCTTTACAGAAGGCGCATCCCTGCCCCCTGCCCATGCTGCCCTGCTGGGATCAGATACCTCAGCCCAAGCAGCTGAAAATGACCTGGGCTATTTTCGCTACAGGATCATGTTGCAACTCCCCCTTGAGCTGGCTGCTTCCTACACCTCTCCAGACCATCACTGCCCACCCTCGTCTCTCACCCATAATCACTGACTAACAGGAGAGAAGGACTCTTAACTGGCCTAAGCTCTTCATGACTGAGGCCATGAGGAGCTAGTCATGGGGCTGGGCAGAGGACCAGGCTCCCTGGGTTCCCGCCCAGGTCTCTTTCAAATTATTCAGCACAGCCTGCTCTGTACCCTAGATGCCAGAGCCTCTGACCCAGCCATCCTCCCGCAAGCACCAGAAAGTCACATTGGAGGCTACCCATAAGTCCCCGGGCCACTCTGCATGTCAGAAACTGCCTCTGCTGTGCTCTTCTTTGTTCAGAATCGGTATCAGGCCTGTACACCTATGCCACAGTGTCGTGGCCTTACCTGGAAGGTTTGAAGGTATATGAAGTGAGAGAAAAGATAGGGAGACTGAAGCCTGGAAAATGAGAGTTGGATTCAGACATCAGCCCAGCTACTCCGTGCCCCAGCTTCTTGGTAGAGTGTCCCATTCCCAACCCCCTCCATTCCTATCAACCAGCCTCTTGCCCTCTCTGCCTTAAGCTCCAGCCCTCCTGGGAAGGAATGTGACTGGTCAGGTCTGAGCTGACCACGAGTGGTTATAAGGTGATAGACCCCTCCACACACACGCTCCCATCCCCCCAGCCTAGGAGCTCACATACCAAGGTGGGGGGCAGCTTAACCCTTTGTAGCCTGGTTTACAAGCAGCCGTGATGGGCACTCTACTTCCTACGACCAATCCCACATATAATGGCTTCATGGAGGGTAGGACGTGTTCAAGCAATAGGATGGGGGCATCTGCCTGCCTGGCTAGTCCTCATTAAGAAATCCCTTGCCACCCTAAATGTTTTATCTTCTCTATCATAATATGGGAAAACAGCCAGGAACTGGGTACTGAGGGCAGAGAGGAGGCTTTGTGAACCCCAACCTCAGGAGTCCCTAGTCTGAAGGGAGAGACCAGGCACAGAGGCTGGGACAAAGAGCCGAGAGCAACAGAGAGCCCTGAGCTGATACACAAGTGGGAGGAAGCCAGGGCAGGAGAACAAGCCAGGTGGGGTCAGACCAGGCAGGCTTCCCGGAGGCCCCTGGCCCTACACCCCTCCCCCCAGGCTCTGGAATCTCGGGGGTCAGGGCTGAGGGACAGCTCCACCCCCTGCTCCCCTCAGGCTCAGGAATTCCACCAGCAAATGGGGGGAGGGGGGGCCTCGGACTCCATCCAAGTTGGCTCCCATTGGATTGGGAACCACAGAGCCTCGTCCCCGTCCCTACCCCCACCCAAGCCCCTATGGCTGGCCCCCAGCCCTCTTCTCTCCCCCTGCCTGGGCTGGCATGGTGTGTGCCAGGCGCTGGCAGAAAACAAACCCGCCGGGGTGGGTTTGCAGGGAGCGGGGTAACCTTGACACAGTTGCAGCAGTCGCTAATGGCAGACACACACTCCGCCTGTTCTGGGGGGACTGTTGCCGTTGCTAGGTAACCGGCAGCCGCGTGAATGGAAATGGGTCAGTAAACCTGGGGAGAGATAGTGTGACACTCGAACCACTGCAGCTGCTCCAGCCCACACCGAAATCCCTCCTCTTCAATATTTATCACTCCCGCCTGGGCCCTCAGCTCCTGCCAGACCCTGCACCAGCCTGGCCCTAAGGTCCCCCTCAAGGCCTGAGAAGGGTGGAGAGAAAAAAAGCGATGGTTGGGGTTGCTTATCCACTGTTCCGGGCAGGAGGTGAGTTGGGATGGAACTGGTTCTGGAGAAGATTGAACAGGAAACAGAATCTAATCCTGTGGCGGGGAAGGGGTTAAAAGGTCAATTCACGCCTGTTTCTGACTTAGGCACCGTGGTAAAATTACCGTGAAAGAGCGGCCTAGAGGCTCCCTCTTAACTACAGTCACTAAGAAGGACAGACTTTCCTCTCTCTTCACCCAGTTTCGAGGCCTCCCTCTGGATAGGGGCTAGAGGAGAAGAGGTACCCAAAACATGGCCAGGATTGTTTGGCGGCCAGAAAGTATCAATCCATAACCCATACAATCAGAGAGCATCCCAAATGACCAGGGGTCGCCCACCATCTTACAATACACACCTCCAGGGACACACCTTCCCGACAGTCAACTGTTCATGAAACCCTGGTAACAGAACTGCCGTTCAGAAGAGAGTGCCCTTCAGCTCAACTCCTATCACCAAGTGGACAAACCTAGGCAGAGGCCAGACTGCCTACTCACGAGGCTGTAGCCTGTCCAGCCCAGACCCAAAGCAAACTCCTCTAGCTTATGTTCTTCCTCCCCAAGGCCAGCCTCCCTGTCTAGAGCACGCCCTGATCTACCGCCACCTCGATGACACTTTTGGAAACACACCCCACAAGTTAGACGCCCCGTGCCCAGCACCCCATCCCTAGAGGCTGACTGGTCCCTGACACACACACACACACACACCCCACATTCCTTTCCTCTACAAGCACATAGCCTCACAGCCCTGCCTGACACAAGCGCTTATTCTTGAGCACAGGCCCCTCTCTTGTTCCAGATAACAGGAACCTAGGAACCCTGGGAGTCAGCAATGCTGCTCACTTGGGTGACATGCCCCCTCCACCCACTATGATTTCCGTCAGAATCCCTGAAGGGTGTGTTTCAGTAAGGAAGGCACTCCAGCTTTCTGGGGTGGGGAGGGGGGGGTACCTTGACAGGGATCTCCCAGCCGACTTGGTTTTCCGTGTGCTATCTCCTAGGATACATCAGTCAACAGGAGCTTGGAGCCTGTCAGAGCTGGAAGGTGCCTGAGGGAGTCACTAATCCATCTTGCATCAGGCAGAAGGGAACAGAGGAGAGACTGCCTCCTCAAAGCCACACAGCCTAACGGCTGGTTTTCAGTCCATTAGTGTGGGCCCTCTATGGGTCTCAGAGAAACCAGCCAGATGGCTAAATGTTGACTTTGGTTTGGTTTCCGAGACAGGGTTTCTCCGTGTAGTCCTGGCTGTCCTGGAACTTGCTCTGCAGGGCAGGCTGGCCTCAAACTCGCAGAGATCCGCCTGCCTCTCCAGTGCTGGGAACTGAAGTCGCTCACACACACACACACACACACACACACACACACACACACACACCCCGGCTGGCATGCTGACTTCTGATAGGACCTGTTCTACAACCCTGCTGCCTAATTCATAACCAGGGAGACGCTTTCTGCTTCCGCAAAACAGGCTGCTCCTGTGTGGTGTTTCAGACTGGGCTGCGCTGGACTTCCTGGTCCAGCCTTGGGGCAAGCTCCTGAACTCTGGAACCAGGACCCCAGAGCACTAGCAGAACCCAAAGAAAAAGCTTCTTCTCTATTCCCTAGACCTAGCCTTCAAAGCAAAAATCCCTTTCGTTCCTGGGCATCCATCCCTGTCTTGTATTATTTAAGTAGATGTCTGCCAGGATGCCTCTGGGAAGAGGTAGGTGTTCAAGGTAGTTTTATATATCCTTATGTAATAGCTGGTGGTGTTGGGATTAAATGCAAGGCCTTGAGCCCGATAGGCCCTTCCATCTCTAGACCTTCCTACGTAGTTTACTTCTGTTCTGCCGAAAGGCAATCTGAGGTTCAGAGAAGTAGACCTCAAATTTACAGTCAAATGGAACCCTAGTCGTCGTTCTGAGACAGGGTCTCACTGTGGCACCCCGGCTGGATTCAACGTGACAGAGGTCCACCCGCCTCCGCCTCCCCGGCGCTTGGATTAAAGTGGAGGCAAGTCTGGCCCTCCTGAAGCGAATCCTGAGCTCCTTCCGGTACACTAGCCTTTCTCAGTGGAGAACGAAGGCCAAGGAAACGGAAAACAGAACCTCGGAAGGTGGGGGCGGGGAGAGGGTGGGAACAACCCAGGTCCAGGTGTGCTTCCTGGGCTGAAGCGGAGCCTAGGGGAATTTGAATTTGAATCTGCGCATCTGGCCGTGGCAGTGTGCTAAGTGAGCAAAGAGCCCCAAAGGAAGACTCCTACTGACCTTAAGCCTGCCCGGGCCATACACCTGGAGAAGCCAAGCTTTGTGCTCCGCCAGCCCCACCCCCAGCGGAACAGTGGGAGCATCCGGAGGAGACCAGCCCCCTCCCGGGCATCAGTTTCCAGTCCGCACGTAAGAGCAGGCCCCGGGAGGTAGGACTTTAATTTAATGCATCGTGACCAGAACCGGTTCCCAGCTCCCAGCACTTTAAAAGCTCTCTTGCCCCAGTGTAAGAGAGCTGAAACTAACAACAGTAAAGCGTGGGCTTAATGAATAAATGAACACTCAATAAAGCCAATGGCTCTCCCTTTCCATCCTTCCCGAGAGGCACTGATTACCCTGGAAAGCCAAGGTAGATGGAATTAATGCTTTAAAGGTGGCCTCTATTCCCCTGAACGGACTGCATATGCTACTCAGGTGTCCTTACTATGGCTAGGCACTACACTAATTGCTTTACAAGTGCAACTTCAAGGCCCAGGCCTGCCTGCCTGCCTACCATCATCTAGTTTTTCAGAGAGAAAAGGGAGAGGAAAATTCAGGAGCGAAGAGACTTGCCCAAGGTCACTGAACAGTACAGGACCGAGAAGGGTTCCAAGCGAGCCTACTACCACAGCTTTGGTTTAACGCTCGGTGGGGGCGGGAATTGTAACTGAACCGGGGCTTTTGGCTGGGAGTGGCCAAACGGTTCATCCGTCTCCATCTGCAGCGCTCTACCAAACGGTGCTGGAATTAGGCAAAGTTGTGGGGAAACAAATCTCTGAACACACACACACACACACACACACACACACACACACACACCCCTCCACCCAACAGTGCAAAAAAAGAAAAGAAAAAGGGAGCCATGTGAGGTCACTTACCAACTGCCCCTGGGTCTCAGGGCTCCGGGAAAAGGGAGGCCCTCCCTCCCGGGTCCCTTTCCTGAACGCCCTGACCTGCAAGGTGCAGAGTCGTCCCCCAAAAGCACGCTGCTGCCGGAGTCGGGGAATTATCCAGGGTTTCTCCAGCGGTCCGTCGCCCACTGGCTCGGAGCTTGCAAGAGGAGGGGGCCCGGCAGAGGACCGCCTCGCCTCCCTCCGACGCCTCCACTCGAGCGGGAGGCGCGGGTCTGGCGGCCGGAGGAATCCGCTCGCGAGTTTTCCCGCCGCCGGCCCTCGAGCTACCTGGCCGCCCCGGTGCCTGCGCCTGCGCCCCCGCCCCCTCCCCAGGAGGCCGCAGGGCTCCTGACTCTCGCCGAGGTGACGGGCCGAGAGGGAAACCAGGCGGCTGGGGGAGGGGCGCCGCCTGCACCTGGCCCCTGTCCGCCGCCCAGGCCGGGAAGGGCGGGCCTGGACCCCCGCCAGCCCCGGAGGAGCGGCGGGGGAGGGGAGCCTCCCGCCTCGCCCCGGGGGAGGTCCGGACCGGGCGGGGAGGTCTCCGCCACCACCGGAGCGGCGCGGCCGGGGGTCGCGCGGCGGCTCGGCGCCCCCTTCCCGAGCTGCGCTGGGCCGGCTCCCCCGACCGGCCGCGCTCTCCAGCTGCAGGAAATTCCAGAAGCTCTCCATCATCCCGGCGCAGCGCGCGGCCCGGGCTGCCAAGGCTCCCCGGAGGAGGGCCACATGCCGGCCGGCCGAGCGCGCGGCCCGCCCTCGCCCCCACCCAGTCCCCCTCGGCCGGGCGGCCACGTAGCCCGCCCGGCCGCCCCTTCCCGCGCCCCGGGGCCGGCGGAATGCGTGGCAGCCCCGGTCGGGGGCTATTTTGAGCGGGGCGGGAAGCTGCCCGGCCGCGGGGTTTTCGGCTTTTTTTTTTTTTTTTTTTTTCCTGGCCCCCGGCCCGCTAGCCCAGGCCCTCGGCTACCCGCGGAGGAGGGACACGTGGAAGGGGAGGGGAGGGCCGCCTCGATCCGGCTCCGGGCTGGGGAGGGCCCGGGAGACACCCGGCCCGACTGGCTTGCTCTGCGTGCCGAACGGCGGGATGGCTAGCAGCGCCTTGCACGGGCGGTGGCTCCAGGGCGCCCGCTACCTGCACGCCCCTCCTCCGGGGAGCGCCCGCGGCCCGGGCACTCCCTCCCCAGCGGCGGACTCAGGCCTCACTGGATAACGCCACCGAACACCAGTGGCCAATCACCGGCCTCGATTTCCTTACCTGTAAGTTGGGAAGAGCTACCCGGCGTTATTTGGAGGGTACTTAACTCACTTTGCTGTGCGCCTTTCCCTGAGCAAAACACCTTCACTTTTTTTTGGGGGGGGGAGGAGGGGGCAGTGGGGCCTAGTCTTTCCATTTATAAAGCGAGAGGGATTAAAGATCCCCTCTTTTCAGGGGAAAAGTTCCGTACACCAAAACAGTGCATTTCCATACAGTACATTTGCATCTAGCGCCTACTCAATGTTAGTGGCCAACGGCTCTGCATTATCAGAAAGCATTAACTCCACCAAGGTCCCAATAAAGACAGTGTTTTTGCTCCGGAGGAAACTGAGGTTCAGTAAAGTGAAGTGACCTGCCAGCGTATGTTTAGACAATGGCACAACCCAAATCGACAAACTGGCTTCAGAATATGAATTAATTACAGACACAAGACAAACCCTTAAACATCGGTGGAAACTGAGGTCCAATGTGTCACTCGGAGTTTTCTTTGTCCAGTAGCAAAGTGGGCACCCAATACAAATCTTCCAACTCTTTAGTCTAGACGCGGCCCTTTGAGTCTATTCAACACCTGCTGTGGGCCAGCTAGGGGGTCCCCATTATAGTGTCTAAAAATGGGGAGACAAACTGGATGTGGAAGAGCCCAAAGAGTACACTCTGCTGTCAAATGCCCATCTCAGACTCCTAGGCCCTTGCAGTCACCATTTATCAATCTCTGGTCTCAACCCCGCCTCAGAGGTAAGGGGTATAGAGATGTGAAGGGGGATGACACGTGCGGGGGGGGGGGGGGGAGCATCCTGTGACAGAGCCCAGAGCCGCTTCCTGCTCCCTCCACACACCCCCAAGCAAGGAAACACAAAGGTTGGCAGTCACATACCCCCCCACCCCCCCTCCGCCCCGGAAACCTGGCAGTTTATTTCTGTCTCCGGGTCCCCTGTTTCCATAGAGTCGGTCCAGGAAGGCTGGCAGCAGCTGGCTTAGAGAGACAGAGTTTCTGCTCCAAGGGTCCAGCTGCCACCCTGCCCTCCCCCACCTGCCAGGCCAGACCAGACTCCGCAGAGGTGACATTGGGATGAGAGGAAGGCCTGGAGCCACAGGAGACGGTCCACCTGGGGCCAGCTGGTCAGAACTGCGGAGGGAGAGGAGCCTTTCCCCTCAACCCACAGCCCAGGTGCTGTCTCCCGCTGGGCCAGTCCACACCAGTGCAAATTGGTTAAGGGTGTAAGCCAGCGCTTCAACCCTATTGATTCCAGACTATTCTGGCTCATGGCTCCTGCATCTACTCCCGAAGAAACGGCTGCCACTTGCCACACGTGGCTTCTGAGTACTGACAATGCTGTTAGTCTGAAGTGCAGAATGGCTCTTACGTGTAAAATACACAGCAGATGCTGAAGTCTTACTATTAAAAAAAAAAAGGGGGGGGTTATCTCAGTAATCTTACAGTGATTATATGCTGAGATGATCCTATCTTTGATAGGCTGGGTTAGATAAGATACGTCTTTCAGTGGATTTTTGCTTCTTTTTTTCTTTGCTAGAAGCCCCAGCCTGGTGACACACGCCTGTTAATTCCAGCATGTGGGAGTCTAAGAAAGGGTCTTGAGTTTGAGATTAGGCAAGCTTGGGCTACATAATGTGTTCCAAGCCCCCTTTGCTACAGAAACACCTTGTCTTAAAAAAAAAAAAAAAAAAGAAGTGAGTATTAGGCTAGGCATGGTGGTGCATGCCATGCCTTTAATCCCAGCACCAGGGAGGCAGAGGCAGGTGGATCTCTGTGAGTTCCAGGCCAGCCAGAGCTGTGCAGTAAGACCCTGTTTCAAAGAAGGAAAACAGTAGGTATTAGAAAAATCTTTAATTACGTGTGTTCCTTCCGTTGAGCTTTGTTACACCATGCTGTTGTAGATCAGATGCCGCGCTGGCTTACAGCCAAAATGCTGCCAGTCCAGATCAATATCTGTGGCTGTCGCTCACCCACTTCCCCATATCCAGACCACAGCCTTACCCATGGGTCTACATCTCAAAGTCCCATACTCCCCCACCCCAGCTTTCTGTGAATTTAGGCAAAGCCAGAGATTTTTAAACTATTTTCAGCCACTCACTAGTTTTTGTTTGTTTGTTTTTATTGCTGTTGCTTTTTGAGACATGACTATATTCTGTAGCCCAGGCTGGTATGGAACTCAATATGTAGCCCAGGCTGACCTTCAAACTCAATGTCTTCCTGCTTCAACTTCCCCAGTGCTGGGATTACAATCAGGTGCTCCCACTTGGTTGTCATCCATTTTACATTCACTGATCCCAAATGGTTAGATCAAAACTTACTTGCTTAGAGATCACGAATATTAGCTTAAAGTCTGCATAGCCTTCAGAAAGACTAAGGCTCTTCACCAAGAGTTTGGCAAATTACAGCCCATGGGTCAAATCCAGCCTGCTGTCTATTTCATAATCGAAGTTTGACTGGAACACAGCCAGATCTTCTATGTATCGTCTAAGACTACTTTCAAGGTATCACGACAGAGAATGAATGACCTACAAGGCCTTAAAACTTTTCCTATCTGACCCTTTACAAAAAGACCTATTCTAGACAACCAAGTCCAACTGCCATAAATTTAGATTCCAGCCTGAGCCAGTGGCCTAGCGGAATCCGTCACTTCTTGCATGCTTCTAGATGGAGCTTAAAGGGAACCCAACATGGATCCCAAGCAGCTTGGGTTCCAGCGTCTCCTGTCTCTTATCAGACGGACCCCAGGCCTCTTCTCTGGAATGGAAAGAGTCTCTCTACTTCGACATTTCCCAGGAGAATTCAAGGCCCACTGGATCTTCTCAGTGGCCTTGGGACAGTTAGGGAGGGTAGATTCCAGAGACTAAACTGAAGGCTGAGTCAAAGGGTCAGGGATAAGGACTTCTCTGCCAGCCAACTGAGCTTAAGCAGGTCATGGAGTTAGAGTAGCCTGCACACCACCCTTGCCCGGCAGACTCCATCTGCTGTGGGATCCTGTAAGGCAGACTGGAAGCCAGGCCAGGGAGCTCTGGGTGAAATCATCATTCTCAACCCTCACCTTGGATCACCTGATGCCTCTCACACCTCAGGGCCTAAAGCTGGCATCAATACTGCCCTTTTCCCTACCTCTGGCTTTGACTTCTCCAAGGCTTTCTGCTCCTACCATTCTTCCCCGCCTTGATCCTAGAATGCTAACCTTAAGTGTCCAGGCAAAAAACTTGGTGTTACCTTCCGGCTGTGACTCTGAGGCCAGTCACTCGGCCTTTCTAGGCCTCCCCAGCTTCCTCATCTGCAAATCATGTGGATGTGCGCAGCATTCGCAGGACTGTGGGGCAGAATGCCTCACCGGCAGCACCTGGCCCAGAACAAGCGCTCAGCGCTAGGGGCTGCTGTTTCTTCCACTGACCCTCCAGCTTAATTTGTGAATGAATTTTGTTAGGTTTATAGGCTCACAAAATGCTAAGCATATATATTTATATATAACATATATATATATATATATATATAATTTATTTTTATTTTATGTGCTGTTGATGTTTTGCCTGTGTGTGTGTCTATGTGAGGGTGTTGGATCCTGGAGTTACAGACAGCTGTGAGCATCTATGTGGGTGCTGGAATTAAACCTAGGTCCTCTGGAAGAGCAGTCATTGCTCTTCACTGCTGAGCCATCTCTCCAGCCCCTAACCAAATTATTCTCATATTTATCTAGAGAGAAGGCCCTAGCTCTGTCATCTTCTCAAAATGGGTTCTAAGCCCCCAAAGTAAAAAAAATCTAAATGAGAAAACAAAGGTACACAGAAGAAGGGATGAGCACTTAGAGGACCCCAGGCCAGTGTCCAAGAGTACGAATCTCAGGTCTCATTCCTTCCTCCAATCTCAAAGTCTCTCTGGCCTGACTTCATCACTCCTCACCTGCTCAGCTGTGGAGGTTCCTCTGTGGACTTCTCACCCCCATCACCTCCAAGGAATCTCCTCGTGACTCTGTGTCTTGGCCTTACAGCTGATGACATCAAGGCCAAGGTCTCTGGCTTGACATTCGGTGG